GGGGGGGAGTTTAATGCCTTAACAGATGCTACTTGTCAGGAATCCATTAATGCTGAGTTTCAAATCTGCTGCAAGGCCTTAACAGTCATGTTTGTGTTTAAATGCTGATTCTGTGTCTATGTGGGGATTCCCCCCCCCCATGTGTCCATTTGGTATGTTTTTGAATATGATTAACCCTTTAAGTACACAGCAGACCAGGTAGGATGTGCGTGTTCATTAGATGCATAACGTCTGCATCGCCAGCTGTCATTTTCCGAGTGGCTGGACGCGGAGCTGGGGGTGCGGAGGAGCAGAGATGCCCTGACAGATCTGGAGAGGTGCGTCACGCGCTCCTGCCCCCGCCACAGCAGTCATCACATGCTCTCACGCTTGGTATAAAACACAATTGACACACTGGTGTGTGTGTGTGACAGGATAGAATACCAGCAGTGGGTGTGTCAGCAGCACTACCTACCGGCCCCCCCGGAGCAAGGTGGCTGCGATGGTGACCCCCACCGGGCCTGTTCCCAGATTCTGCGGTCCGTGCTGGACCTGCACAGCGGGTGGGTGTGCTGATCTGCGCTCGCTCGCTCGCTCGGGGTCAGTGATGACACTGTGTACCGAGTATGGGCTCCCCGGCCCCCACGGCGCTGACAGAGCGCATCTGAAGGACGTCGTCCCTGTCCCTCGCCGATGTCCCCTCCGTGTCCCCTGCTGATGTCCCTGTCCTGTCCGCTTGCAGACGGCAGGGGAGCCGGATCCCAGACACGGACACCTGTCTCCCAGATATCGTCTCCAGGCTGCAGGTGCTGCGGTTAGACAGCTGGGCCCCGTTAATCGAGCTGCCCATGCGCAGAACTCTCGTGTTGACGATACCCCCCCACCTCCCGCAGGAGTTCATGGGAGAGCTGGAGCTGACTCCTCCGTCCTCCGAATCCGAGGACGACAGCGGGATCTTCCTGCTGGATTTGGTTTCTCAGAGGTGCTCGGCGACCTCTGACCCCCAAGCTCTAAGCAGCCAGCTGGACCTGGAGCGTACTCTCCACAACTGGGGGAGGTATGTGGGGAAGGGGATGGGCAGCCTGTTCCCTCTCTCCTCTGTGCATGTTAACCAGCTGATCAGCAGTGCGGCTGATCAGCGGTGCGGCTGAGCACCCCTGCGTTGTGCCTGTCTCGCAGGGTCGTGGTTGCGCTTCCTGTCACGGCTTTAGTGACAGTGAGAACCCGGCAGGGCAGGACGTCTCTGGACTGCAAGGCCTTCATGGAGCATGTGAACCACGCACACGTGAGAATTCAGCTCTCCCCTCCCGACTGCTAAGGTTGTCTTGCTATCGATGGGAAAGACCCCCTTCTCAGCTGGTGCTCGGTGTTTGTCTGACTCTGTGTCTGCCTCTCCTCCCAGAGGAACATGTGCGATTCGGTTGGCCGGCTCCCTTACACCCTCACGGCGCATTTCTTCAAGGTGATTAGCTTCTCTGTCTGCATTCTCCAGTCCCAGCGGATCTTAAACGCAACTACGGATTGGCGTTTCAGCAGGAAATGACCCGGTGAAAAACAGGACTTGCATTAACGGTCCTCTGTATTTACTGACCCATACCTTTGCTGTTGTGTGTGTGTGTGTGTGTGATGAACGCATGCGCTGTTTGGGAACGCCTGTCACGTGTTGTACTCCCTCCGTCCCTGCAGGGGGTGCTGTACACCAGCCTGCGCTGTAAGCACCCGAGCCATGCTGTAGACGACCTCCTGTCCCAGCTTCCTCAGCAGTGCCCGTTGCTTCTGGTGTCTGCAGGGGTACGGACCCTGGTTTGCTCCATTTCCCCACTAGCTCCAACCCCGTACCGCCAATTTGTAATGGTTTTAACTGGAAAGTGTGTGTGTGTGTGGCAGGGTTGGTGGTCACCGCTGGGCTCCATCCTGACGTCTCTGTGGACCCGGCTAACAGGAAGCCGACTGCCACAGGAAATACAGCGTCTGGCCGACTGTTACAACTGGGCCTGCAGGTATCTCACCTGAAGCAGCACCCTGCACCACCTGGCGGTCACATGGTACCTGCACCTGACACACCCACACACCTGATTGGTCAAACGGCATCCTGCCCCATCAAATGTGACATGGTACTGCAGATGACACATTTAATTGGTCCATCTGCACTCTACCCTTTTCTGACGGTCACATGGTTCCTCCAGCTGACAGACCCACACATCTGATTGGTCAGCCTGCCCTGTCTGGTGATCACCTGCAGTGCAGGATTATAATTTTGTATACGTTCCTCTCTCTGCAGTACAGTTAGAGGGGAGGTGGTGCCCCCCCCAATGGCAGAGCCGCTGCTTCTGGCTGCTTGCTTGCACCATGTGGGGAGGGGGCAGGGCGGAGACTGGGGGATCAGGACCACCCTGGGGCGGCTGGAGAAACTGCAAGAGCAGCGCAGGCCGGTGAGGAGCCCCAGCAAATGGCACAAACTTTCATGTCATTCCTTATGCAACCAGAGGGAGGCACTGCACTGTGAAGATGTCACTTAATGAGTGGGATTTCTATCCGTTTATGCCTTTTGCCTGTACCTGTCCCCAGTGTAGGTCCATGCTGAGCATTCTGGGAAAGCAGGCCTTTTTGAGTTCCCTAAACAGACTGTCGAGCCCTGCAATTCTGCTGCTAATGAGCTCTCACTCTCTTTTAATTGCTTAGCTGACAGTTTTATTCAGAGATGTATTTCCCCCCCCACATTCCTGCAGCTGGAGAGCTCACATTGAATAGTTTGTTGGGGGGAGAGATGAGGACCAGCCCAAAGCATAAGTGAACTAAGCAGCTGCTTAGAGCCCAGCGGCCACTAGGGGGCCCTCATCTGATTAGCCTGTTAGGAGAAGGAAGATGACAAATGAGAACTTAGGTCATTAGCATTTTTCTTAGGGCCTGGAAAAGGTTTGGGCTGGCCCTAAACAGCCTGCAGGTTACTGGCCCATCTTTAATCCTCAAGCTAGTCACCGCCCTCCCAAAAACACTGATTTGTTAGAGCAAATCAAAATCGCAGATTCAGTGTGCTGATGTCCCAGCTGCTCACTGTGAGCCATGTCACTGTACACTGTTGCCCACAGCTGCTGGTCTTCCTGCTCTTCTTCTGCGTGATGGACCTGCTTTCCATCCTCATCCAGCCCCCGGTACGTTCTCACCCCGCCGCTCGGACTCGAGCCATTTTTCAACCCGCTGTGTTTTACGTTGGAATCTGTGGGGCTGTGTCTCAGGAGACAGACCGTGCCAGGCGACTTCAGGAGGCCTGTCTGGAGGTTCTCAGCTACTTGGCGGACTCCCCCGATTGGCTGCTGCTATTTAAGTCACCCGCTGCAGGTACCAAGTCCCCCGGCCCGCTCCTCCTATGCCCTGCCTGTGTCCCACAGCCCTGCAGCTCATAGTATTTATCGCTACTTTAAAAGAACAGCGTGAATATCAGGCTGTGTCCATGACGACGACAGACAGGAACATCAGACTGATGCCTTTGGCTTTCTACAGGTAAGGCTCATAGACGATCATCTCCCGAGTGTTACGGAAATCACGTCTGGTCGCAGAGATGTTGACATGACGTTCTCCTCAGCCTGGTGTCCCACTTGGACACAGATGTTTTGGGAAAGGTGACCAGGAGCCCGGGCTTTCTTCTTACGGCGCTGCGCTCCTATTCCGCCCTGACCAAGCTCTTCCTAGACGGCCTGATTCCCTCCCCCGGACAGGTGACTGCCCCCATCTGGGCCGGCTCGCAGCCTGAGGCCTGTCCGTGTGCCTCCAGCCGCACTCTGCAGCGTGTGTTTCTGTTTGACAGCCCCCCCCACTGCAGGCTGTGGCGGAGGCCAAGCAGGTCCTGCTGAAGATCATCTCGCAGAGCAGCGTGCAGAGCAGCTCCTCGCAGGCCCAGGTGCGAGGCCCGGCCTCATCGCCTTTAACTGCTCGGAATTAGACGTAAAACAGACAGGCGGGTTCATCACAATTGCCTGCTACTGAGATCATGTTTCTAGGGGCTAAACTTATCATTAGCCAATGATCATTAGCCAGTCTCAGTGACTGAAACTGGAGGGGGCCAATCAGCTGTGCCCATGTGACTCCACCCCTGACTGACACCTTCCTCTCCCCACTCCCAGTTGGAGGCAGCCTGTGGGGAGATGGACCCGGAGGTAGCCGCCGCCTTGTCCTCGCACCTGCTCTACCATCGCCATAGCGACCCTCTCTATGGCGACCTGGACTACTTGTGAGTGTGGGCACAGCCTGAACCCCCATCACTGCTCTGCCCACCGTGGCGACATTGACTATATCAGTGGTTTCTGTACCAGGGCGGCCCGAAGAGCGGGGGACGTAGGGGGGGGGGCACGGCCCAGCAGTCATGCCGCAACCTCTCGGCAGTTTATGGGCTGTATAAAGTAGAGCAAAATTATGGTTGAGATGGTACCTTCTGTTGGCATCAGGACCACCCTGGGTGGTTCACACAGACCACACAAACCTCGCTGCTACATTTGAGATGGTTCTGTTAAGACACCGCCATTAAAAAACCAGCTGTACATGCACGCTGCCATAGCCTCATCCATCATGGGCACACCGCCACTTCAGGTTCGCCATTTCATTAACTCCTTCCATTTTAACAACGGTATGTTTAAAACACGGAGAGCAGAACAGGCGGGCAAACCGAGCCCACCAGCATCGAAACAGCTCCTAAGACAGCAAAAATAGAAACTATATACACGACTGTACAAATGACACTGAAAACATCCAGGCCTCAACTTGAGCCCTCTGTGGGTGGAGCTTAAAAAATAAGACCACGTGTCCCATGATGCACCTCTTCGCTTAGCAGTCCTGGCATTAGCCGTTAGCGTGGAGGTCCACGGTCACAGGGGAGTGGGTGCATCCTTGCAGTCGGGCAGCGGCACAGGGGCCGGGGGCGGCTCGGGCCCGCCGCTGTGCTTCAGCGGGTGCACCATGGACATGTGCACGTTGAGGTTGTGCGCCTTCTCGAAGCGCTTGCCGCACAGCTCGCAGGCGAACTCCAGCTCCTCCTCCGCCTTGTGCTTCGTCATGTGGTATTTGAGGGAGGCGCGCTGGCGGCACTGGAACCCGCACACCTCACACCTGGGCGAGGGACAGAGCGCGGCCTGCTGAGAGGACTGCGTGCCGGGCTCCCCCACGCCCCCTACAGTGCCCTCTGGAGAACTTCCACTCCTGCATGCCAGTTCTCAGCTCCCGCTTCAATAACTTCTGAATTGGGCCTTTTCCCTCTGCACAGGGCCACATGTATTCTTACGTGGACTGGACAGTGTGTGACGCTCAGCCTCTTTACAAATGCAGCCCTTTGTGCTATAGCACAGGCAGGGCTCTAAAGCATTTTAACAGCATTCGTGCCCAAATCAGGGTGTAAAAATCCCAAAATGCATTATTTACATTTGTACACTTTAGCAGACTCTTATCCAAAGTGACATTTTTTTTTTTTAAATCAGGGTCAGACAGTTCTTGGTGCAACTGGAGGTCAAGGGCCCACAGAGGAAAGCCTGGGTTTCAAACCAGCTACTTTCTGATCAGACACAGAGTTCTAACCTGCTGAGCCACACGGCCCTTTGCATTGCAGGTGCCGATGTGACGACGCAGCATTGCTGTCCTGCATTACAACAGACCCCACACACGCAGCGATCTCATACTTACTGCAGCGGCTTCGCTCCGGAGTGTCGCATCTGGTGGACAGAAAGGTGCTTCCTCTGTTTGAACGTCTGTCCGCATTGGTCGCAGATGTAGTTCCTCACCTCTGCGGGAAAAGGGGGCATCGGTTCAGAATAAGCAGATGGCAGCCTGTGAGCCCCGACCCCGACGCTTGGCTCCGTCTCCGCGGCCCTCACCCGTGTGGATCAGCTTGACGTGCCGCTGAAGGTAGCGGTCGATCATGAACACCTTGTTGCAGCCGGGGTGGGGGCAGGGCCGCTCCCGGACCTCCTCATGGTGCTCCTTGATGTGCTTCTGTTCCCGGGAGAGACTGGTTACACACACGCGTCTAAATGGGAGGCCAGAGAGGGCGGGGCTGGCCTTGCCGTCCGTCCGCTTGCCTCACCTTCATGCCGTCGGCGCCGCGGTACACTGCTGTGCAGCCTTGGTGGGGGCACTTGTAAATGGTGGGCAGCTCCTCTCTGAAACGGACACAGGACAAACTGACGTATCGCCTACCATCCTCCTGTATTGTGGCCCCTCCCTCCCACTCCATGAGGCCCCTCCCATCCCCTCCTGCTGATGAAGCCCCTCCTGCTGATGAAGCCCCTCTTCCCACTCTGAGGCCCCTCCCATCCCCTCCTGCTGATAAGGCCCCTCCCTCTCACTCCAAGGCCCCTCCCTCTCACTCCGAGGCCCCTCCCAACCCCTCCTGCTGATGAGGCCCCTCCCAACCCCTCCTGCTGTTGAAGCCCCTCCCTCTCACTCCAAGGCCCCTCCTGCTGATGAGGCCCCTCCCAACCCCTCCTGCTGATGAGGCCCCTCCCTCTCACTCCGAGGCCCCTCCCAACCCCTCCTGCTGTTGAAGCCCCTCCCCCAGACAGCTGGCTCACTACCTTTCAGTCTTGATCATCTTCTTCCAGCCTGGCTTGGGCCCTGGCTTCTTCCTTGCTTTCGGCTCAAGGGGCATCTTGGGCTCCCGGTTGGGGCCTTTCTTTGAGGAAACCACTCCTCTAGGCAGACAGACAGACCGATAGAACAGGATGAACCAAAGCCCACCCCCTCCTCTTTTCCACATCATACTTAATCGCAAAATGAAACACTGGCACACTGCTCCTGGCACGATCGCTCAGGTCGCCCCTAGGATTTTACAGTTCTGCAGTTAGTTGGCATTTCACACACGGGTATGTTTAAAAACGTTTAACACTCTGGATGCAGCCAGCTGAAGCTGGCTCACCTATAAATCTGAAAATCGAGCACCAGGCTGCCGCATTCAACATAATCCTGCGGCGCGATTGTGCTCCTGTTACTCCCAGCTTCGTGTTTTTGGAAGCAGCTTATGGGACCTCATTGGCGCTCCTCACCGCTTTCCGGGGTACGGTTCAAACAGCTCATCCGACGAGCCGCTCTTCCTCCTCTCCTCATCCTCCTCGCTTGAAAAGTCCCTGAGGACACGTGAAAACATCTCACCACGCAGCCCAATGATGAACGGCCATCTACAGCTGAGATTCAAGAGTCTGGTCCATGGCCAGACTGTTGTCCTTCTCACCTGTCAGAGAGGTCGCTGTCCCCCACTATGTCCAGAGGCTCGGTTGCAATGGGCGTGGCCATTTCCTCACTCTGCACCAGTCCTGAAGACCACAGGGAGGAGTGAATGAAGAAATCAGCAAACCACAGAAAAGAACCCACCTGCTTCAGGAGCCCACAATATCCCGCTGGTAGGTAAAAGCAGCCCCTCAGTCTGACGATGCATTTGAAGCACCTAAACTTCTTCAAATGGCCGGGATCTGACCTCCACCTTAAAAGCACCCCTGCTCTGCGTTTATGCTCTGTGAATGTGACCCTGGTACAGTTCCTCCATGGCCTGCTGTGGTCTGCTAAGCCAGCGCTTCCCATCCCAGTCCTCAGAGACCCTCCAGACAGTCCACATTTTTGTTCACTCCCAACTCTCATAGCACCCATATCCGGTATCCAGTGTCATTGGCTGAGAGCTGGGAGGAAGCAAAAACGTGGACTGTGTGGGGGTCTCAGGACTGGGTTGGGGAACATCGTGTTGAGCCTCTCACTCACCCTCTGTGGCATCTATAGTGTCAAAGCTCAGCATGGGCTTCAGGCCGGGACTCTGGTTCAGAGGTGCCGTGGCCGGGCTGGGCGGGGCTTTAGGCATTCCCTCGGGTAGGCCGGCGGCTGTGAGGACCACCCCAGGTTTGAGGGCCCCGCTCCTCCAGGTCTCTTCCTCCCTCTCCGGCTGCAGTGATGTGGCTGTTTTCCTGGGGCTGGAGCCTGGGTACATGTGGGCTTCCACCACATAGCGGTGTCCCTCTACACACCCCCACACTGCCCTCACCATGCCCTGGTACTGCCCCTGCAGGACCTCCTGCAGGCTGGGGCAGGACCTGCACCCTTCTGCATGCTGGTGGGCCCAAGACACCAGTTTGTGGAGACACTGGGGTGAAGAGGTAATTGGGGATGCTGGAGAGAGGTGGGAGCATTGATAAGAGGATGAGAAAAGGGAAAAATTGGTCACGCTGATCAGTTTATATCCCAGGACAAAATGTATATATATATATATATATCATACACGTACCAGACAAAAGGGCATCATCTACCAACTTCGAGCACATAGAATTACCCCTGAAAAGAGAGAAAGTTTAAAAAGCAGGGTCCGTCGCAGCAAAACACGAACACTGAAGCTGACCTTTGCCCCACGGCTAGTCTCACCAGTCCCCTGTGCTGTCACACGACGATGGCGACAGGTTGACCCTCCGGAGGAAGGCGAGCAGGATGCTGTGGCACTTGTAGAACTGCGCATGGCAGCTCTTACAGACAAACTGTGAGAGCAGCGGGTCGCGGCTCACCGGCACCCCCACCAGGTGCTGAAAGTCTGCGCAGAACAGCGCCGACTTCTCCCTCTTCTCTTCCACCGGGCGCCCCTGGGGCTGGCCAAATGCGTATCGCAGGCTCCGCGGGGAAAACTTGCCGTGACACAGGCGGCAGAACTCGGTGCTGAGCCGACCCGAACCTGATCAGATCCACAAAGACAGCGCGCCATCAGCCATGAAACCTCATCATCACACCTCGGCTTACTGCAGTTTCTTTCACATTTTACAGCTTTGCTGATAGACGACCTAGTGCAGGTTGTATACAATCTGCAAAAGCTGCTAATGCAATTAAATCCCTCTAATTAAAGCTCAAGCTATCTATCCGGACTACAGGCAATGCGCTATAAAGCATGCGGGAAGCTTTAAGGATAAATAAGTTGTGCGCAGCTCAACGCTGGTAAACCGTAGCTAATCCACTTACTCGTGTGGTGGGATCCGTTTTCAGTGCGGTCGCCGGCTCTAGCTGCCAAAGCGGGTACCGCCATCGCCTTCAGCCGCCCCCCTTCAGCGGCTTCCACGGGACCGCCGCTCCTGCGGCTCGCCTCAAGCCCCTCTTCGGAAGTGCCCTTTTCCACGGTCGCCCTCGGTCTTCCTCGCCGCCCGGGTCGCTTATCGGCCCCGGCTGCCTGGGCATGACTTGTCGGTGGTGACCTAGCAGCAAGCCGCCCGCGTCGGTCCCTTTTCATTACAGACGCGGTCCAGGAAATAACGGAGCAACGTGTAGTGACAGCGGGCTCCTCTCCGTTAACTTCAGCGGCTGGATGCGTGTCCCGTAAACGCTCAAAAGCGGCGCAAAAAAGTTTAAAAATCGACCTGCTTGTGATTTGTCAAAATGGCTAAAATGGCAACGAAATCACATAAGACCGGTTAATAAGGTGCAATGCATTGCAATTCAATTCGAATAATAAGATGATCTGGCTTTTAACTTAAAGTGGATGTTTATTTGAAATAATTAACAAGAAATCACAACTGAAATGCTTCGAAAAGGGACATGTCTGAAAGTAAACAAGTGTATCCGGAAGGGCTTTTGTAGAGAGGAAAACAGAGGAGAGAAGCAGAGGCGCCATGAGCGGCCTCCGCATGACGAGAGTGGCGCATGTAGCCACAGCGCCACCTGTAGTGTCATCGGGAAACTACATGCTGAAGAGCGTGCGGCTGCGATCAGGAGGTCTACATGGGTTGTTAGGAAACGAAGAATTTATTACGATAAACTTATTTTAAAACGAACATTTTTTCCAAAAGTAATTAGGATAGGTCTCCTGCCTCCTGCAGTAATTAAATTATATAATTTTAAAGGAACTCGACTTTGTATAAGGTTTTATACAGAAGGGGCACTTTTTACATTTTAAGCAGATATTCTTAAAACACATAAACTTATTTAACTTAGAAAAATTGTTTATTGATTCTTTAAATTGTATCCCTCCTTAATGGTTAAATGGCAGTGATGCGTTTTTACATATCAAAAGAACGAAACAAACGCATCACCTTTACTGCCACAGAAAGACCCTCAAACACTACCATCCTGCCCAAAACAAATCAGTAGGAAGCGATAACTCACGGATGGGTTGGTGTATAGAGCATCTTCACTATAAAATCCTTATCAAAGTTTAAGTTGCTCTCGTGATTAAGGTTTACGGGAATTATTGTTTAAAGAATTAAAGTTTGTCCACTCTGAGTAAACCCTTTGTAGTTACACAAATGTTTTTCATTACTATTCTCATTGTTCCTGACCAAAAAAGAAAAAAATGGGCCATTTTAGCTTGTGTTATACTACAGTTGTAAAACAAATGTTAAAGTACCAATTACTATTTAATTCAAAGCATAAAATGTGAATCTGATTTGAGATTTACTGTATGACTTTATGTGTTTCTCACCTGGCGATTGCGGCAGTGAAAGCTGCGCGCCTGCAGTAAGCTTGCTGCGGCGCCAACCTCTAGTAACAACATCTTATAATACGAATGGCGGCGGCTGCACCAGACGGTGGCATGAAGCCACTACAAAACGCCATGAAACTGGCTAACGTAGCGATACAGCTTGATGCGGGGAACATGCATAAGGTAAAATGCATGGCTATGGTATACTGCACTTCCGGAGAGATGTCATAGTTCAGGTTTTTGTGTCCAATTTGCCTTGATAGCTACGATAAATGGTTCAGGTATGGGTGTCACGCATGGAACCTACATAACTCTTCTTCCCTTTTTTTGATGACATCTTCTGGTAAACGGGGGTTACACAGTTTAATCAGATCTTATGCATTCACATTTTAATAAAATGTGCTTGAGTGTCTACTGTCTTAGTTCTTCTGGCCAAAATGACATTTATAATAATACGAAATTTTGTTGGGTATGTATGTTAATTTGTAGACCGGCTTTAAATAAGATGGATGTTACGATTCGTTTAATGGGTCTAGTATATACGTTTTAAAAATAAATAAATATTATTTTGCAAGTAATGTGTCCAACAGGAAATGACGTTTGTTTTGTTTTCTTACCAGGAGGCTTATTGCGAATATTTGAGGAGTATCAGTTATATATGCCACGCGTTGCTGGAAGATGCTGGGTCCAAACGTAAGGACGTCGGTTAACATGAGTGCATGCTTTTGTAAAGAACACTATAATGAAAACCGTCTCCAGGTTGTTTTCTGAAAGAGTGGTAAATGATTGATGAACTCTTGGAGTTCTTATGTGCAAAGTTTAAGAGATACAGTAGTCCACATGGCTAAAAGGAGACACAGTCTTGTACGTGAACTTGATTAACTTGGTACACAATAAGGACACTGTTTTCGTGACAGTTTGAACACCGTAATTGACACTCCGTAAACATCGGGATTCCGAGAACGCCCATAACCCCGCCCCCAATCTGAAAGGCCAATTGGCTGACAAGACTATTGACGAGAATACTGATGCTGACGAATAGCGAACCAACAGCTTGTCTCGCCACGAGAGAGAGACTGTATACCTTTTCTGTTCTGATAAAGCGCTAACACGACCTCTGACAGCTACACAGTATGGGCATCAGAATAACTTTGAAAACGCATGGAGTGTTTTTTTAAGCTTGTTAGATGCTTACAAATTTCCATCAAGCACTTAAATGTGCATGATATGTTATTTGCCAAATAAAGGTTCTTTATTTTTCTTTCTGGTGATTGAAGACATTGATCTTTGAATCCCACTGTGGGTGGGATATGGTGCACTGTAAGACACTGATTGGTTTAGGTCACTTACCATTGTTTATCTTATTGGTTCCCATTAGGTCATATCAGGCAGTCACTGGATGAAGAGGGTTATCACACCCTCATTTCTCCAGTCATGGGATATCGCCGCTCAAATCCCTTTGAATCAGTGATCAATTAACTGTGACCCCAGAGAGCCACAGTACTGCAGGATTGACATTAATATTGATTTAGTGCACCAACTGACAGCAAAAACAGCAAATTTTGAGACTTGCCTTAAAAACTGAATCCCAGTAACAAAATGAGAACTTTAACTGGACACTGCTCAGTTAAATCTGGAGTATTGGAATATAAGTAAAATACTAAACAAATAAGAAATTATTAAGTAGAAAGGGTCTCCTAATGGCAAGAAAACACAAAAAAACACAGTTAGGAAGGGCGCCAATTATACATGCGTGCAGTAACTGATATTATCCAGAAAATGGGGCTGTCTCCTTTCAATTAATGCTTGAAATAATCAGTTGTGTTAATAGGAAGGAATGTTACTGATCCTCCTAATCATTAACAGAAAAGCCTGATTACTGACATTCTGTATAGAACATTGTTTACTCTGAGGTGTTTTTGTCTTTCAGCTTTCTTTGCGTTTCACTACGTGGCCCTAACCCCCCCCCCCCATCTGTCTCTGTCCCCAAAAGAAGCAGAAATGGTGCCATTGGAGGTGGATAAAATGCTGAGATTGGCTGAGCAGTGCCTGGAGAGAGTGAAGTCCTTCGCAGGGAAGAAGTTGGATGTCACTGCTGAGTCCAGCCCCACGTCGGGTCCCCACCTATGCCCCGCCCACACGAGGGCTGATGCGGGGATGGGCGAGCTGCAAGCTGCTGTCTGCACTGCGCAGCCCTGTGCCCAGGTTCCAGTGGCTGCACACTGCCCCCTGCGTCCTCCTGCAGTGTTTCCAGCACCCAAGCTCGAGTCTGGTGACACCCCCACCCGACACCGCCGGGTCTTGTCTGACGGAGGAGGAGCTGCATCGCCGTTTCTCCCCCCTGAAATTTTCCAGAAAATGCAGGCCGTAAACACACAAGACACTAGAAAGTAAGATCCCCACTCACTTTGGTCCCATCTAAAGAAGACTCTAGAAATGTAACATTTGTCTGCTAAATCAGACTGAAGCCTCAATGTGATTTATACATTTAGTCGTAGGCAGAAACATTTGCCACTTTCCCCCTTTATCATACATCCATCCATCATCCATCTTCTAATCGCTTATCCTTCTCAGAGCCTGGGATCCTGGAGCCTATTCAAGGCAGGACAGGGTTCAAGGCTGGGGTCTCCTTTACCATATATTGTATAATATAAATCTTGGGGTAGTGTGCATGTATGTGCTCATGTGACGCACTAGCATCCCATCCAGGGTGTCCCCCACCTCTGTGCCCAGTGCATTCTGGGATAGGCTCGGTGCTACCTTGTAAAAATAAGTGGTATGAAGATGAATGAATGGACAAATCGTTATACTTTAAATAAATGATAAATATATATTCTTATGCTTTATGTGCTGATAGGATCTTCTCTTTATAAACTGAACGTTAACTCTCTTTGGGTGTATTTGGCAGGGAACTGACCCCACTGGAGGAGGCTTCACGGCTCAATCAGAAGCTGAAGGCGAATTATGAAGTCCGGCTGGCACGTCTCACCCCTGGACAGGCGACACAAAAGACGTCCCTGGTAAGTTCACATCGCCCCCTGTGCCTGGGAGGACCACGTGCTCAGAGCCAGAGTTATGCATAAACTCAAAAAAAAAATAAAAAAATTCAAAAGAACAAGTAATGTAAACATTACAAAACCATGTTAATTTCAGCCAAGGAAACAAATCCAACGATGTTAAAACAGTTGTGAAATTCTTCCTAGCATGCCTCCTTCAAACTATTAAAAAAAGAAAACTGATGTAACACTTACCATGTTTAGCCATTTATAGAGCTGGATATATGTATATAATGTATCAGCAGTGTCCTACTCAGTGGAGACCCATTTTGTATTGTGCTTTTGTTTAGAAGAATTGCATAGGTGTATCTGACCGAAAATCAGTGTGTTTGCAAGCACCTGGACAGAATGATGGTGTAAATAGGGCTGGTTAGTTTTTAGGTGGTGGACGTCCGTTTGCCACAGGTTGAGTAATTTTGTTTATCGACTTAGAGCTCCGGACTGTAATGCGCAGAAATCAGTCAGCTTTCAGCGGCAGTATTTGTCGTCGGCGGCCATCCGTCGCATTTCGGATTTAATTCGTCGGACGCCTTTGGTCCGGGCGCGCCGTCTCGCGCGTTTTCCCTCCACACGTGCGACGGGGTCACGCTCCTGGCTCCTCCCGATGACCCCCCCCCCCCGCGGTGAACGATAGGGCGATAGGGCCGCCCGCGGCCTGCCGTGGGTGTGGGGGCTCTTGGGTCAGGACGGGGGTCGGAGTAGGAAGGCAGAGCAGCGCTGCCGCGGAACGTGAAGCGCGGCTCGGGACTGACTTTGCTCAGCTTAATACACACGGGTCAGTATGTTTGAAACCATGAAAATGGTAAGTGGCCGCCTTTGCAGAGTCGGCTCCATTGCGTTTCTCACTCGATTGGCGATGGCGTTGAAATTCTATATTATTCAGATGCGAAGGATGTTCTTCCAGCCGTCCGAAAGCTCCTTGGATCTCCATCTTTACTGGAGGAGATTAAAGGCTTTCCTTAAGGTACTTTGTCGTGAAGTGTACCTGTGGCTGTATGTAATGGTTACTTCAACCGTTTGGTTCTGGGTTGCATTTTCTTAAAGCCTTGAAACAGCCTCGTCTGCGATGTTCTGGTGGTTTGTATCATTGCTGTATTACAGACCGTTTTGCAGTCTTGCCCATTAAGTAACGTCAGAACGCCAAAGTCTGCCCGCCGTTTGCCCGCCGTTTGCCCTCCGCGACCATGACCAGGTAAACTGGTTAGAAGATCGATGGATGGATTTTTATAACGTTCAGTGACTTCCTGAGTTTATAAGCCAATACAAAGAGTTGGGGGCGTTAAATCTTTAGTTTGTATTGATCGTTTTTTAAATGGTTTTATAATAGTCTGTATGAAACACCGGGAGTAGACAAGAGGGTAAGCAAATGGGGCGCATCGCGACACAAGGTGCGAACTGATCGTCTTATTAGCAATTTTATGGCTTTATATGCAGTACAAGCCAAGGGCATAACTTTTGATTGAGATTGGGGGGGATTGAGGTCTCAACCCATTTAAGGGGGTCCAGGGGGTTGTATTAGCTGGGTTTGATTACTGGGGGGGTTGTAACCCCTCCTTCCCCCCCATAATTTCCTCCCATGGTACAGGTTACATTTATTTACACTAGTTTTAATTGTTTGCCGTTTTTCTGGTGAAACACGTGAGATTATTTGTGCTACTGAGATGTTTAATAAAAATGAATTGAAAAATGTACCTGCTGCTCTAAAGGGGGGCAGAATTTAACAGGTACAGAACCAGTTGGAAGCCTGAACACACCTGATTTTAATGAATTTGTCTCTATTTTAGCTATTATTCATCTTCTAGTAAAAGGCCTTGGGGCAATGAAGTAATACATATCAAATAATGCAACAACCAGAACTATTCAACATTTCAATCTTCTCATTTTGTAGAATTTTTACATTCTACAAAATAGCCCCCTTTTGCTTAAATTGACAGCATTGCAGACTCTTGACATCCAGTTTGAAATGCTACTCCAACAGTCCTGAAAGAGGTTCTGCAAGTTCTGGGCACAAGTTGGCTATCTTTGTGTTATTCTTCGATCCAAACTCATCCCAAACCAGCTCTGTAGGGTTTAGGGTGGGGGATTATTTGAGCCTGGTCATCTGTCTTTCCTTGTTCACAAGATAATACTTCACAGTACTTGCATAACCTTGAGGTGTACTTACGGTCGTTGTCTTGTTGAAATACAAATGATTTTCAGTAGCTGCGTCCAGACTTTTGACTGGTACCGTATTGGGATAGAGTGAATTGTTTTGAGTTGGTTAATAATAATGGGACTTGTTTCCTCTTGCTTGCTGCAGGACATACCTAAAACACAACAATGAATTGTATTTTGTGATTATTTATTAGGGCACTTTTTGTAGAAGTTATGAAGTCTCACCTGACAATGATTTTTTTCAGCGTAAACACTGTTGAACATGTTGCTTATATGCCTAACTTAATTACAGCTCTGATTGTCTGAGATTTAGGGCTAAAAGAAAAGTATGATTGACCCCCACAATGCATGTCTGTCAGGTGGATCGTTTATTTTTCAGTCGCGTCTTCTGACTTCTAATCCGAAGTAAACTGCCGAAGTTACAGGTTTTGTTTCAAGATTCTCAGTATTTGCTGCATAAATTTACATATTGTTCTTGCTCATGAGATCTTAGTAGTACATATTTTCTCATATTTTAGCACATTTGTTTATAATGTGTGATGAGGGAACGGGCATTGACAGAATTGACAGTATCGAGCATGTTACGTGATGGTATCTGATTGGACGTCAGGTGTCCCCTCAAGTTCTGTGTGATATGTGGAAGAGCAGGACTGAGCATTCGAAGTCACAAGTACAAGTTTTCTTCATGCATTTATATACTTTAATCGTAAATAGCTGTGTGGTATCTGGAGTGGATTTGTGTGCAGGGTGGGCTGACGTGCCGAGGTCACGCCCTGTTGAGAAAGGGTCATGTATCTGCCCCAGAACCTGGCTTGCCACACTGTCATTGATACAGTATTGATTCTGAGGCACCTAATCAAATTTTGTCTGTGATTTGCTTTGGCCGCTGTGATATAGCTGTTTGACCAAATGGGCCCCGTGTTTTGTTTTTTTTTTCACCTTGTCTGGTATGAGGAAATTGATCACGAGACGTTTCAGAAATTAGATGTTGATTCCATCAGTCTTGTTATCTGCCATATTTTTTATGGCAAGTTGTTCCAATGAGCTTTATAGCATTTCCCCCAAACAAAACCAGAAAACGTGTGTCAGGGACAGAGTTAACTAAGAGAGCTTGATTTAAGGAGCTTTGCGAATGGGTCTGTTAATAAATCCATTGGCACTGAGAGTGGTCTGGCTCCCCTATGTCGGACGTCACAGCCCCGTTGTGCAATTAGCCAATCGTTGGGATGTAGGCGGAGTCTGCTCCGGTGTCACCTCCTAGGGGCAAGAAGGACGTGTGAGGCCTATTCGTTGTTAATCTGTCATTCATGCAGTTGGCATCTGACCCTGACAAGTCTGTGGGGGTCAGCAGCCAGAGGTTAGGGTTGCAAATTAATAAATTGGCCCTATGTTTTTCAGGGCTCGGTTAGGAGTCACGCAGACATGTGACCTGTAAACATGCAAAGAAATATGCTACATTTAAATGAAGCCAGAAAGCATGTGACATTTAAAAAATCTCCAGAGCAATCAAGGTATCATTCAAATCTGCTGGCTTCTCTTCCCAACACCCAAAGTCACAGATCCAAACTGCAGTGGTGGAGAGACATGTTCCTTAATATCATATATTTAATTTTTACTGGTTTTATTTACAGTTCTCATGAGGTCTTAGTAGTATGTCATATTTTAGCATGTTTTTTTAGAACGTGTGATGAGGCAATGGACATTAACAGAATGGACAGTATTGAGTATTACCTGGTGGTATCTGATTGGACATCAGATGTTCCATCAGGCTTTAGCTGACCTGCCGTAATCTCCATGTGGAAGAGCAGTGCTGAGCTCTGCGTCAGAGCGAGCACTGCAATTGGCAAGTTTTTCCTCCTGTGATTTTTCTCAGTTTATCAAACGGCAAATGGTTGAGCAGGTTTTCTTCATACATATCTGAAGTCACTGGTTGAAAGTCGGGATAATTTCATGGTTAGGAATAGAGTTGCAAAGGGGTGTAAAATATCTGCAAACTTTCCAATCCATGGGAAGATAAGATGGGAAATTTTGGAAACATTCCAAGTTGGAAACTTTCCATGGCAGTTAACGGGAATATATAGGAATTAACTGGAAAATTTCCAAAACATTGCAACCCTAGTTAGGAATAGTCATAGCAAATGAGAACCAATTTATCAATAACAGGCTCCTTGTCCTTGTTGGGGGGGGAAATGAGAATGTTACCTGATTGGGCCGATCCCCTCAGCTCCACGCTGTCTCAGTGACGCATACGCAAATCATTGTTGTCCAAAAGCTTCATAGTCCCACAGGTTGCCCCTGCATGCACGTCATGCTCAGATTAATACACCTCTGCCTCGTCAGCCAGTCGCTTCTGCGTTTTCTCTGTTGGATGATTTCCTACCCAGTTTCTTCCATCATCTGCCCATTATATGATCTAAGCAGGTGAACTGCTGCAGAGCTTGTTTTTGAATGTGTGAAAGTGCGCCTTCTCCTAAATTTAAACCGGCAGTTATAGATTCCAACCACAAAGAATGCCACTTTGACTCCATTCTGGTCCTCTCCGTATACACCATGATATACCCCTGCTTTGTGTCTTATGCTGCCTGGATGAGTGCCAGTCTCCGTCCCCCATTCGATCCTGACCAGAATAAGCTGTTTGATGATAGGTGTTTATATGCTAGTTTGAGTGAAGCTGTTTTGGAATTAGTCTTGTGAGCATCTTGGAAGGTCTGGGAAATTGTATTGAGCTGTATTGAATGTTTTGATAGTGGTTTGGTTTGTTCACGTGATTATGAGGTCATGTGCGTCAGCTTGAGCCTGTGTGTGTGTCCCCTAGACTCTTGTATGCATGAATGTTACTTTGCGATGAAGGTTGCCTCCTGATAGCCAATGCAGAGGCTGTAGATATCGATGGAAGTTCTCTGTTATCTGCATTCACGTTCTGTGCTCTGCATGTGTTGGGAGTGAATGCACATCATTTCCTTTACTAAAACCGACACCTTTGGCTTGTCTTGTTCAGACCCTCTCCCTTCAGAGGCAAATGATGGAGAACCTTATCATCGCCCAGGCTCGGCAAGATGCTGTATCCTTTCTCAAGAGTGGGGTTGGGGCTTCTGTACAGGCTAATAATTCCTCTCCTGCCCGCTGAAGTTCCTTCAGTTGGGTGGAAGTGGATTATTGGGTTAGAAATGGGGGGGGGGCGCAAGGTCAGTGGTGTGAAAGCTAGTCTGGCCCGTGGAGGGAGCTGATGAGGGGCGTAACAGCCACTGTGGTCTGCCGGGTTCCTGAACGTGTGCAGCTTCACCGGAAGATGGAGGAGAGGAGACTGAGACTGCAGGAGGAGGCCAGCAGGTGTGAGCGCGCCCGACCCCCGCGTACATGCCGCCGCGCCGCTTCTCGTCATGCGCTTGCTCATCCGCCCGGAAACGTGTGTCCGCAGGAGGTTAGCGGCCGTGGGCATGATCACGCCGGAGGAGCAGGAGCAGCGTGTCCTGTACGCCAGCGTCCTGGAGTACGAGCAGGATCACGTGAGTCCGTCCGCCTTTGGCACCAGCTGGTGAATCAGTGCAAGGGGGCGGGGCTTGTTAGCTTTAGCATGCTCGCCATGTGGCGTTTCTTTGGATTTTTAGTTCCAGAACGTGATTTTATATGCCTACCACAAGTATAGTTTTCTGAGCCAGAATAGATATTTCCTCTTATCTGGGATGAGCGTAGCTCACAGCGTGAAGGTTTTTCATTCTGTTGGCATTCATGCCTTAAACTATAACGTTTATGCACCCCATTAAATGGGGGGGGGGGGATTCTGAAAATTAAAATGTATTGTTAAATAGATTGTCGTGTTAAGACTAATTAACATTTTATTTGTACACAAAATAATTGTACACACAAAATGTAAGACATATTGTACCCTCCTGACACTTGGCCAATTGCTATGTGTAAATTCACTGTCTCCTGGCTGTGTTTCTGAGCCGTATGTAATGCCAGACCATGTCTGCAGGCTCTGACAGCAACTGTTCACTTTTCTGCAGGACTGGCCGAAAATGTGGAAAGCCAGCTTGAAGAGGAACCCCAACGACAGCACGCTGGTGTCAGGCCTGGTCTCCTACCTCCTGAGGTATGATGGTGTGTGTGTGTGTGTGTGTGCGCGTTCGTGTGCGTGTGTGTGTGTGTGTGTGTGCACACGTGGGACAGGTTGGCTTTATGTTTCTGTGCTGGGGTCTATGTCTGTCTTTCTGTGTGTGACCAGCTGCCCAGATCACCCCGTGGTCCAGCTCCTGAAGACCCTGCAGTACAATATATACGACCGCCTGTACCCCCTGGTGAGCCAGTGCCCCCCCATCACCGCTCCCTCCCAGTTGGCCATCAAGACCTCGGTCAGCGCTCAGAACCTGCGCTCCGAGTCCGGCCTGCCCGCCTCGCCGCCCTCCTACCATGACCACAACGCCAACCGCGAGGGGGAACCTGTGCTCCCCGACCGGGAGAACTCCTTCGAGGATCTGGAGCAGTTCATGACGCAGATGGATTTGGAGCCAGGGTGTGAGCGCCGGCCTGAGGTGGTGTCCCACATCCAGGAGTTGGAGGGCTTGGTGCTCCGGGAACCTCTGAAGAACATCGTTAAGGACGTGCACGCTGCCATTGGTGCGTGACCTCCATATCTGCTGTGAGGGTCTGCTGTCTTTACTGGGGGGGTTAAGGAGTTGGTAATGCAAATGGTGGAACAACCCAATGTAAGGAATGCCAGAGGGCCCCCTTGTGACACCCCCAGGGCCCCAGGCGGACTGGCTTGTTTGTCGGCTGAGCTCATCTCTGATGTTTCTGTCTTCAGTATCAGTAACATGAGCTGTGACTCCTTCCCGCCATCCCTGCCCCCCCCCCCCCATAAAATACGCCCTGGCTGAGTCGCGTCTGTGGCGTTGTGGGGTATTCTGGGCCTGTAATGGAGGGGCTCTTTGCTGTATCTCTCCCACCATCAACCAGCTGAAGCGCTGACTGTTTCCTAGGGTACTGTATTAGGAAGCCTTTGACCGCTGGAGGTCATGTGTGGCTCAGCGGGTTAGAACGCTGTGTTTGTGCTCGGAAGGTTGTTGGTTCAAATCCCAAAGGTGGCAGAGTGATTTCACCATTGGGCCCTGTGTTGGACCCTTTACCCCCAAATAGACAGCCCATGCATGGAAATGTCTGCCTAATCAGTCAGAAATGCTAATGATGGCTTGACTGTGAATCAGATAGCAGCTTTTCAAGGTTAACTTTTTATATGTATTACGGCATGGTCACACTCTGTAGGACTCTTGCTCCCCACCCTGCAGATCGCCTCCTCTCCCTCTGTCTGCTGTCCTTCGAGTGCCTCAACACCGCCGCATCCAAAGACCTGTGTGTCGCCTGCATCGAGGAGGCATTCTTCCCCCCGCTCTGGGGCCCCCTGTTGGTGCTCTTCAGGTACTGCGGGTTGGCATAGATGTTACCTTTATCTGAAATTAATCCCAGTTTGTACTGCTATTCCGTGTGCTCTTGTGTTCACGCTACATTTGTCCGTGAACAGGCGGTGCATGCATGCTGCACTGAAATTCCACCAAACCCGGAGAGGGCAGATGTATTGCAACAAACATAAATACAAGCAGTGTAGTGAACATTTTTATGAACAGTTTTAAAGCTTTTAGTCTAGGATTGGCCGGTATTAAGGTATACCGCGGTATTACGAAATCCTTTCAACAGAATTAGCCAGGACCCCCCCCCCCACCAGATTGCCCAGATTTCAAAATGCCAGAATGGTGTTGCTTTAGAAAATATGGTATTCAGACATTTTACCACAGTATATCTCGAAAAATCTCCTCCACGCCTCCTCATACCGCACCTATTGGAAACATCTAATCATTGTCATTGTACATGCACAGTTGACATGCATGATCTTCGCCAGACAAATATCTGGGCTACACGGCACCGTCTGCTGCAGATCTGACCACATTTATGTCACTTGCCAAAAAGCGCACACAGAAACGTGAAGCCGAAATAGATCTTAACGTGGACAGGATGGATCTGGTGGGTAGCAGGTGACTGCTACAGCGTACTGATATCGATACTGAATATCAATAGTTACAGGCTTCAAACAAAACAAATCGCACACTCCAGAATGATGTCATGATGTTTCTGTTATTGGGTGGTTTTAAAATGAATTCAAGCTGGTTTAGCTGTCACTACTCTAATCCAATCCCCCCCACACACACAAACACACATACACATACATTGCTGAAGCTGCTTTTTTGTTAGTTTCACTGTCTGAATAGAAGTCCTGTATGATTAATGAGTTTTGGGGGCCCCCTGTTGGACACAGACAGTCACTACCACTCTAAAAGTCACTTTGTGGCCTTCCACCCCTCCAGTGCAGTGACTGTCGAGGGTCCTACGCTAATGTGTGGTTATAAACGCCGCCGCTGTGTGTGTGTGTGCGTTCCTGCAGGAAAGTGCACCGAGAAAGGGAGCTGTCCTTCGAGATGAGCGTTCGGTTGTATCGCAACACCACGCCTGCCGAGGTCGGCGTGGCGCCCAAACTCTTCCCCAGGGAGCCGTCTGCGTTGCGAGCTTCCTACCCCTACGAGTCGGCCGTGCAGGAGCTCCGGCTGCTTTCCAGGGACCTGTGTCCACAGAGGAAGCTGGAGTGCATCGGTGAGGCTTCTGTCTGCGCCCCACGGGGCCCCTGGGGACTGCCTGTGTCTGCAGGGTGAGGGGATGGGACTGAGACCTGCAGGGTGAGGGGATGGGACTGAGACCTGCAGGGTGAGGGGATGGGACTGAGACCTGCAGGGTGAGGGGATGGCAGGCTGCGGGGTTAGCACAGTTTGGCGTGTAGGTCGTGCTCACTCAATTTACAGAGTTGTTGTGTGTTTGTGTGCGTGATTCCTGCTCGTGTGTGTGTGTGTGTGTGTGTGTGTGTGTGTGTGAGATACACCCAGTCTCCTAGTGTTGGCTCTTGCTCACTGTGTCCCGTTGCAGTGCGAACGTTACGCCTGATCTGCGCGTGTGCAGAGGAGTACAGGAGCTTGCAGGAGCCGGACGCCCCCCCCAGCACGGCTGCCATGTGAGTGACCCTCCTGGGATTCATCTCGAGACGGGGGCCACGCAGGCACAGACATAGACACACACGTATGACAAAACATCCCCGTGCAAAAATCCAGTCTCATGCACATTCAGTTTTAAAATGCTTACTCTACACGTCAAATTTGTTTTTCACTGAAAACAAAGGCAGCCAGCTACCCCCCCCCCCCCAAATAGTTTTGGGAGGGAGCTTAAGAGCTTTTGATCAGTCTGATTTGACAGACTGATAGTCTCCGGGCTCCATGTGTCAGACCGAATCAGGCCGCGGCGCAGCCTAGCACAGCGGGGGTCTCCACTTAACCGTGTGGCCCCCTGCTGACTGCCCGGCCTGGCTGGCTCTCGGGACGCATCGCCTGGAGTGGCTGGAAGCGTGGGCACCGTGAGAAGGGGCCTGGCGGAAATGGGGCTTGGCAGCCCTGATCAGGGTTTTTTATTCCCTTAGAATTGGCACGTTATTTTGGGGCAGGGTTGGGAAGCTTGGTTAAGCAGGCAGATCGTGCCACTGGGGGGGGGAGGGCCTCGGGAGGCTGGAATGACAGAGGGAGTAAACAGCCTGTGAGGTGGAGAGTAAGGGGTCAAGGGTCACGTCCCTGAAGCGCCCCAGCATCTGCAGCAAATCCAAGTCAGGTCTGGTTTCGGTCTCGTTGTCGTGACCCCTAAAAGCCACACCGCGTCGATCCTCCATGTGTCCCTTGCCAGCGTCACCCAACCCGAACCCGCCAGTAATGCCTCCTGTCCCATTCGCTCTGAGGAATCCATCCTGCATGAGTCTTACTGACAGTTCCTTTTAAACAGTTTTTTTTTGGCTTCTTTGTGTCTGTTTATTAGCTCCAGGTTAAGAGATTTTTTTTGTGTTATGTGAGTTTATATTTGAAATTAATATGATAACAAAAACCATTTTCAAGTTAAGTCTCAGTGCTGGGTTTGCACTGGTTTTTAGACAGCATTGGCTCTTGCGGTCAGTCTCCACTCTGCTCCCCCCAGATCATGTGCTCGTTTCGGGTGTCCACCCTGTCCTCCATGACCGGAGACTCTGCCTTTTGTGTGATTTTCTGTTTCCCACGTCAGGCTCTGCCTGTATCTCCTGCCTCCTCCTCTCTTGCTCCTTTGCTCCTACTTTGGGTTGAGTTAACTGCATATTCTGTGTATGTTTGCACCAATAGGAACTAGTTTGCCACTGACATGTTTTGGAACCGGTTGATTTGTGGACTGATGGGGGAGCATCCATGAAATGGGACAGTGATTTTTGTGAACACCAGGGGGCCTGTTTAATTTGTGAATTAAGTGAGTTATGGATTCCCGCTCTCAGTGCTCTGATGGGGTCTGTCTGTCTGTCAGTCTCCCAGCTGTGCGTCCTCCATTTGGGGATCTGTTTTGTCTCCTAGGCCCCAAACGGCACTTGCCTGCCTTGCGTGAGCATCTCGGTATTTCTCATACACTGGCGTTACTCAAACAAATCTCACCGAGCGCCGGTTGTAAAGGTCTTTCCACCATGTGTTTTGAGACCCTTGCGGTGATTTGCCCGTGGACTCCTTGCGGGGGTAATTGCCGGACATCTGAAACTTTTTCAACGCCGCGGACCGATCTTGCCGAATTGCCGAGGGATCTGTCCGTTAATTGCCGCTGCTGCCAATGAGCGCAACATTTTCATAATGACGCTCAATCAGACATCTGTGTATTGCAGACACGGTGATGGAGGTTATTATCATAAAGATGATGTCACCCTGCTTGTTCAGATGGTTTGAGCTTTGTACCCTGGGTGACTTGTGCTAACTTCCTATGTAGCCCTGGGACCACTGGGGGGGCGGGGGGCGGGGGGGGGCTGTGTGGCTTGGAGGAGGTTAGTGCCTGTGATTAGAAACTCGCAGGTTTGAATCCCATGCTGGGCAGAGCAGCCACATTTCCATTGGACCCTTGAGCAAGACACTTAGCTCCCCAAAATGCCCCAAGGGAGCCAGACAGATGGCTGACCCTGTTCTTCTAGCCCAAACTTTGCTATCACCTGTATGTGTGTCTTTAAAAAGGAAATACAGAATAAGATAGAATATGTGAACTTGCATTCCAATGTCCCAGTACTCCACTGTACAAATGGCAAATGCAGCATTTCATTCCATACTGTCTTGTAATTTGCTTTCTTCCAGTGGGGCTGACGACCTCCTTCCTATCCTGTCTTACGTGGCTCTCCGCACCGAGATGCCCCAGCTGGTGTCCGAGTGCGCCGTCCTGGAGGAGTTCATACACGAGGGGTATGTATCCCGGCGTCCGTCTGCTCTGAGCAAACCGGCAGTGTGCATAGCCCCCCCCCCGAAAAGGCAGCGTTCCTCCCGCCGCTGCCAAAACCGGCGGACGACCTCATGTGACCTACATCTGTTTGCCGTCCCCGATCCCTGCCGATCGGCGTGGCCCGCCCCCCCCACCCCGGCCGCCGCATTTCCTCGCGTGCGTCCGTCAAACCGCACCCCAGATGTGAGTGTATCTCGGGAACTGGCCTGGTAACTGGCAGCCGTCGTGGAATTTATGAGCCCCCCCAGTTTTAAAAATAAGAATAAAATTCCGCTTGATGTTTCCCCAGCTCGGCTGTTTGGGAAGGGGAGTGTGGGGACCGGATGCATCGATTGCCTGCGACCCCCCC